ACCCTATGGATCAATTTGGCAATTTTCTCAATTGCTTAAGCTGCTTCAACATATTCTTTGGGTAGATTTTTAAGCTATTATATTAAAATTTTGAAACTTAAAATGAGAATTAACTCAAACATATAATCTCTCATACAATGACTTAACTTGATTAAATTACATTCCTCAGAAGTTTTTTTTTCCTCAAATAAATTACTAAGCTAGTTTTATTGTTTTTAAAAGCCTAACTTAGAGCAAATGTCTGAGGTGGAACTAGTACCTCGGTCGTGGTAAAGCATATCACCTTAAAAGCAACAAATGCTGATGTAATATAGTTCCCAACCAAAGAAGGCTCTTGGGTAAATGAGTAAACCAGTGGACCAGCATGGGTTTCTGCAAATCACACAAGTAAAAATATTTGCATTTAACATCAATACCACCACTATAAGCTTGAAGCCAACTATTCAGGATCAGCTATTTATATCCTTTTCTGTCATTCCTTCATGTTAAGGTTCTGTAAATGATGTTAGCTTCACCTTACGCAAATATTTTTAAACAACCTTTCACTGGCGCAATTGAAAAGCCTGAAAAAAAAAATGTTTCAGACATCCTAAGCATTTTGAGAATTATTTTAAGTGTTTCTTCCTCTGCAAGTATTTCCCTCGATTTCATCTCAAACTGATCAAAGTCACCCTAACTCATTGTCCTCATCACACGCCAACTTTGTAGGGCATATTAGAACAGCTGCTAAGCATGAGAAAAAATGGAACGTGATGTAGAACGGATAGGGGGGGGAGGATGATTTGAAATTTGAATTTCAAATTAAATGGAAAAAGGAGGGAAGGGGTACTTAATTAATCCCTTAAATGGAGAGAGATTGAGGGCCTTAATGGAGAAGCATTAATTAAAATAGGAGAGAGGGAGGGGTGGAATTAAAACTTGCTTATTCAATAGTTCTTAAATTGAGGGAGAGAATTTTATTCAAAAACATTTTGTAATTGAATTGGAATTAATTTGAAGACTTTCCTAAAATAGATCAATTAATTTAGGAAATTTGAATTTCAAATTGTGTTGGATTTGAATTACAAACCTTTCCAAAACAATCATTAATCTAATTTTGGGAAGAAATTTAAAGAGGGCATGGGTATGGGGCTAGCCAAGAGAGAGAGGGGGGACTAGGGGTGTCTAGGTTCAATGTATTGGGACTAGGGATTAATTGATTAATTAATTGAATGAAAGAGGTTTCCAAAAATAAGATAATTAATGAGGAAGGATTTCAAATTAGATTAATTTGAATTTAAAATCTTTCCAAATTAATGACAACTTAAATAAGGAAAAAAGAGATTTTTTTTTAAGAAGTGAGGCTAGGGAAAGAGGTGGCCAGCGGGTGGGTGGAGCCATGGTGGATTTCGGCCAACGAGAGGGAGGAGGAAGGGAGGGGCTGGTGTAGGCCGATGGTGTGGAGGTGATGGGGGTGAGAGGATCGACGCCTTGGTGAAAGGCTTGAGGAGATGGTGGTTTAGGGAAATAAGGAAAAAAAAAAAGACAGAACTGCGAGCCTTGAACTCTTCTGAAGACTGATGGGTAATACGATGCCTTCACCAAGAGAATTCAAGCCACGAGCCCGAACCCATTCTGCGGCTGGTGGAAACCACAATCCCTCCATAGGAATTCCCACTAACGTCCTCTCAAAGAACAAAAGTGCAAAACAAATTTTTTTTTCTTAATAATCCATCATTCCTCTCGTACAAGAGCAAGGGCCTTTATATATATAGGCCTCAAAACAAAAGAAATAAAAAAATACAACTTTGTCACTTGGGCTTACATAAGACAAGACTCTTAAATAAGGTAAAAAACGACAAATTCAAAATTAAATTAAAATATAATTAATAAACTAAGATTAAAAAAGGAGTGATCTCGGCCGTTGATCTTCGACTCTTCCATTGAGTAACGTCCACCGTTGGATGTCAGTGAACATCACTATGATCGAGACCATCCATCCTTTAGTAACTTCAGGGTTGTTGCCCCACCCTGTAGGTCTTCACCTAGCCTTAATGGCCGACGCTCTATTGG